ATTTCCTTTTAGCCAAGAAAAAGAAATCAAGGCCCTGTTTTTTAAAAAGGGGGGTAAATATGCTGAAAAAAAATGAGCCCAGTACGGAAGTGTTGAGAATTTTTATTGGTGTGGTAAATAAAAAACAGCTATGACTCACTTATTTGTGAAAAGGCAGGCAGTTCATGACGATTTGTAAAGAAATTGCTGCAACTAGTGATGATGTGAGTGAATTTAAGGCTAGCAAAGGCTGGTTTGGAGATTTAAAAAGGTACTGGCTCCCAAGTGTGGAAAGGCTGGTGAGGTGCCATTTTGGGCCCACAAGGGGGCCCTAAAAAAAATATGTGCATGTTTCCCAGAAATAAACATGAAGGACAAAACCTGAAAAAGTTTAATTTAAACAAAACGGGCCCTCTTTTGGAAAAAAAAATCCAAAGAGGACCTTTTCATTACAAAAGGGGAAAAAGGGCAATCCCCCAGGACAAAAAGCCTATGAAAGACAGGCTGATGCTAATGTTCTGTGAAATCCTGGGGGAAATTCAAAGGAAGCGTTATAGGACCATTTAAAATCCCAGGTTCAGGAAAAACAATGTTATGAAGATAAATTTGGTGTGTTTTGGAAACAATTGAAAGGGCAGGGTCCGAGGGAAAAATTTTTTGTAGAGTGGTTCAACAAGTTTTTGGCCTAGGGAAGATTTACCTCTGGAAAAGAAATTGGATCTCAAGTGCCCCCTTTTTGGGACAATGCACCTGCTAACCTCCAAATTGGGGATGACCTAATTCTGAAGGATTTGGGTTCATCACGAAAAGTTTTGCCCCCAATACCACCCCTTCCCCCAACCCATGGACCAGCGGGATTGCAAATTAAAAAAATTCTACAAAAAACAATGTTTGAAAGGTGCTTGAAGTGACCTCAACACCACTTGCCCCTACGAGTTTTTTGGAAAGAAACTTTTCGTATTCCCCTTGTGTACCCCTTAAGGTAAGGCTTGGGAGAGATAAACCCCAGGGATTTGAACTCTGCTTGGAGAAAATTGTGGCCAGATTGTGCCACAAGAGGGTTTTTTGGGGGGTTTTTGGGCTGACCCTGATGAGCCTTTCGTTGTTAAATCCATTGTGGCACGGGGGGCTTCCGGGGTTGGATGTAGTTTGGAGGTGTGGAAGGTTGGTGGAGGCCACAACAAAGAGTAACCCACGAGGAGCTGCAAGAGTTTCAGCGGAAAACAGCACAGATGGGCGCCTGAATCTTGCTGCAGAGGAGGAGGAAGAGGATGGAGGAAGGGGGCCTTCTTCAGAAATTAAGAAGATTTTTGAAATGTGGGGTAGGATGGAAAGATTTTTGGGGGAAACATCCCAGAGAAGGAGTTGCAAGCCCAATCGGGAACTTGCCAGGGACAGAGTTTGGCCCATTTTGGGGAAGTTTTAAAGAGACGCCAGAAACGGCTTTTTGGACAGTTTTTTTTGCGAGCGGACCCAGTGACTCTAAAGGTGGTCCTAGTGGCATTTAAGAAAAAAGAGAAGAGAAGAAACCCCCAGAAAAGCAATTGGTACCCAAGGTGTTGATGGAAGGGGAAATTCCCTTTCCAAACAGAAATTTTCATCCAGTCTCCTTCTCCAGTCTTCCATACAAAGAAGAATTGCCAATGAAGGTAAGTGTTATTTTGTTAATGTTTAATTCATCATGTGCCACTGTATTGTTTATGTACTACATCTATATTTCATGTAAAAAAAAAATTTTGTATTATACTTCTGGGTGTCAGGAATGGATTAATTGAATTTACATTATTTTTTATGGGGAAATTGATTCGAAAAATCGTCCATTTCGATTTTTAGTCCCTTCCAGGAACGGATTACGGACCGATTATTGAGGGCCCAAATGTATATATTTAGTACAATTTACGACGTTTTCATGTATTTTATGATTATTCATGGTTTTCAACAAGTTAAGGAAGCAGTATTGTAATATATTTCCCTACAATATATTGGGGCACCAAACTTTCCCACGGTTTTTCAACATTTCGCGAGGCTCTTGATCCCCTAACCCTTGCGAATGTTGGGGGGAGACCTGTATACTATATATATGCGTGAGCGTGTTAGACAGGAGTGAATGGAGACGAAGGGTTTACTTGGACCTGACGATCTGTTGGAGTGTGAGCAGGGTAATATTTAGTAAAGGGGATTCAAAAAAAACCGGTTATTTTCATATAGTCAGATTGGGGTCCTGGAAATGGGAAATACAATGCCTGCACTTTAAAAGGAGGGGTTGGGATTTTGGCAGTTTGGAGGGATATGTTGTGTATCTTTATACCGTATGTGTTCTAAACTGTTGCATTCTGAGCACCTCTGCAAAAACAGTGATAATGTGTGAGTGTGGTGAAAGTGTTGAATGATGATGAAAGCATTTTCTTTTTGGGGATTTTCTTTCTTTTTTTTGGGTCACCCTGCCTCGGTGGGAGACAGCCGACTTGTTGGGGGAAAAAAAAAAAAAAAAGAAGAAGAAAAAAAAAACTTGTCAGGGAAGAAATGATTATAATTGCTGGAAGGCATATGTCAGAATTACCTGTATTTTTTGTATATGTACAGTACATATACATTAAAAAAATATACATTATGTTCTTTAAAAACCTTACCAATGATTCCCTCTACAGTGGGTGGTCTCTCTCCATCTGAACTTGTAGATCAATGGTTGATTTCCTTTCGATTATATCGAAGATAGTACTAGCAGCTCCTCTGGCAACACTGAAGGCTTCTACATATGGTGCAGCCTGACCAACATTCATAGCTCCCATCAGAACACTGAAGAACACCTTGAATAAATGTAAAAAAAAAAATTACAGACAAAACATGTATGCAAATTGTGTGTGTACGCTTATATTTACTAAAAATTATATACGTGTATAGTTTTATGCTTCCATATGTAACAATATTATTCGAGAATTATATTGTTTAGTACACATAAAAGACCTTTTCCATGTATTATGAAGATGTGGTATTCCTGCCAAGAAATTATTTATGTTTTATGTTCCTTGCACTTTAGGACATCCTTCAGCTGCCTAGAAGTGATTAACATATCATTTGGGGCTTTATGGGCCCACAAACTCTACAGACGGTGTCAAAGCTGTGGAAATGGGCTGATATCTTTCCCTAATAGATCTCTCTTTATCTGGACCCAGAGGTTTTCAATGTGGGGTTCACATCTGGGAAGTTTCCTGGACAGTCAATGAAAAAGGGTACTTCATAGACACAAAACAAGAAAAGAGAGTTTGCAGTGTGGCAAGGAACACTGTTTTGCATAAAAAATCTTAAACCACACTGAGCCAAAGATTTGGGCAAAATGATAACAGGCCAATTCGGGCATCATCCGCAAAGAACACAGTACTGTGGCTTACATCTTTCTCTATGTCAGATATGAGGTGAGGGACAGGATGGAACGAGTACTGTACCTTGTGGAACGGAACTTTTCACTGCAGCAGCCTCTGACTCTACTCTGTTTACTATTACTCTTTGTGTTCTGTTTGTTAAGAAGTTTATATCCATCTACCAACTTTTCCTGTTATTCCTTTATCATGAATTTTGTGTGCTATTACACCATGACTGCACATACTGAAAGCTTTCTCACAGTGTACACATATACTACTGCATCTACATTCTGTTTGTCCTTTGGAGCATCCAAGACTATATAATAGTGATCCAGTAGATAATAATAATAATAATAATAATAATAATAATAATAATAATAATAATAAATGAGTCTGTGGAGACAAAGAGGGGAATGTATGAGAGTATAGTTTTACCAATGCTCTTATATGGGTGTGAAGCATGGGTGATGAATGTTGCAGCGAGGAGAAGGCTGGAGGCAGTGGAGATGTCATATCTGAGGGCAATGTGTTGTGTGAATATAATGCAGAGAATTCGTAGTATGGAAGTTAGGAGGAGGTGCGGGATTGCCAAAACTGATGAACAGAGGGCTGAGAAAGGGTTGTTGAGGTGGTTCGGACATGTCGAGAGAATGGAGCGAAACAGAATGACTTCAAGAGTGTATCAGTCTGTAGAGGAAGGAAGGCAGGGTAGGGGTCAGCCTAGGAATGGTTGGAGGGAGGGGGTAAAGGAGGTTTTGTGTGCAAGGGGCTTGGACTTCCAGCAGGCATGTGTGAGCATGTTTGATAGGAGTGAATGGAGACAAATGGTTTTTAATACTGGACGTACTGGTGGAGTGTGAGCAAAGTAACATTTATGAAGGGATTCAGGGAAACCGGCAGGCCGGACTTGAGTCCTGGAGATGGGAAGTACAGTGCCTGCACTCTGAAGGAGGGGTGCTAATATTGCAGTTTAAAAACTGTAGTGTAAAGCACCTTTCTGCAAGACAGTGATGGAGTGAATGATGGTGAAAGTTTTTCTTTTTTCGGGTCACCCTGCCTTGGTGGGAATCGGCCAGTGTGTTAATAATAATAATAATAATAATAATAATAATAATTATTATTATTATTATTATTAAGCAGGGGACCAACACTGGATGTTGTGTTTTCCCTAGATATGGCATAAGAAAAGAGTTAATTTTTTTATTATTTTCAATTTCATTTATGGTTTTAAGTTCTTCCTGTGTTTCTTGTCTCCTGTATGATTCCTTAATCTTAAGTTTGATATTTGCTATTTCTCTGAAAAGTGCCTCCTTTCATATTTCAGATATACTGGCTCCTTTCAGCAGCTCTGTGATTCTTCTCCTTCACTGTATAGGTAGTGTCTCTCTCTTTCTAGTTTATATCTCATCTTTTTTCTTAAAGGAATGTGCCTTAAGCATACCTCTAAGTGCCACAGAGTTAATTTTTCTAGGCAAAGATTTGGATCCATGTTGTTTAGGATATCTTCCCAGCTTGTTTCATTTAGGACATGGTTCATTTGATCCCACTGTATGCTTCTGTTATTGAAGTTGAATTTGGTGAAGGCACCCTCATAACTGATCTTATGCCTGTCAGGAGCCCTGTGCATACATATCTCTATTTCCATTATATTATGATTTGAGTGTACTGTCTTTCATATTAGGTCATCATTATTAGTGAAGATGAGGTCAAGTGTATTTTCCAGTCTTCTTGGTTCCACTACTTGTTGGCTTAAGGTGAATTTGTTGCAGAGATTTAGTAGCTCATGTGTGTGTGGATTTTCATTTGAGCTGCCTCCTGGAGTTATCACTGCTAAAACATTACTTGCTACATTCCTTAATTTTAGGTGTCTTAAGTTGAAATCATCTAGCAGCAAGATGTTTGGGGCAGGAGTTGGGAAATTTTCCAGACAGTAGTCAATTTTCGAAAGCTGTTCCTGGAATTGTTGGGAAGTTGCATCAGGAGGCTTGTATACAACCACAATGACAAGGTTTTGGTTTTCAATCTTTACTGCCAAAACTAACTACATCACTGGAGGTGTTGAGTAATTCCAAGCATATGAGTGACTATAACATACAGGCCAAATTCCCCCTTGTTGTATAACCTGGGATCTATGTTTTGCTGTCAAAATGTAAATAAACTCCATGCAAAGATTCAAAAGATGATACAACAGATATTTGTCAGTTTGTTGAAAGTTAGAAGGCTTGACTAAAAGATCAGTTCACCCCTTCACGAACTTGAAAATGTAATAATAAGTACAGTTGTTAAGTACAATAGTTGCACATAATATGCATGTCTGCAACACTATCTATCAGAAATACAATCACTTACAATGATGAGCTTTGCAGGATCAAATGAACCATCTCCTTCACGAGATTTAAGAATGAGTCCTGTTCCATAATAGAAAGCCAAGGAATAAGCTGCATAAATGATGAACCACATTAATCCCATTCCAAATCCTGTCATCAGACCTCGCTTCACTCCAGCTTTTTTTGCATGAACTAAATTTGCATCATATCTGTGGAGAAAATAAATGTGTACTGTACAGGTTTATTATTTCTGCTGTTTTCTTATAGGCCACCCTCTATGATCTGACCATGCAGAATAAATTTTCCCTATTTTACATTCCGTGAAAGTAGAACTGAGCTATTAACTCTACAACAGTGCATGGTGGGGCATCCTTCCACCTCTGTAGGAAATGATTTCTTTTATGTACTTTTAGAGTGACAAGTCTACAGGGTTGATACTTCCAAACAACTTGCTTTATAACAAATAAAAAGGCACAATACTACAACTGGAACAATACATAAATGGCTCACACATAAGAGAAAGAAACTTATGAGGATGTTTCAGTCCGACTTGGGCCTTTAACTAGTCACAAGTTGGGCCAAAATGTAGTCATGAGTTTATTTCTCCTATGTGCGAGTTGTCTGTGTATTGTTTATAAGTACATACTGAGCCTACAGCCGAGTGCCACTGCAGTGGTATTCGACAAACGCTCATAACATATTTTATTATTACCATGTGTTAAAACTATTTAAGATTTAATTCTGATAGAAATGCTCTGCATCCTATGGGCTTTTCCGACAATATCGTGACCAACTGTAATCCACCCCCATACAAGATATTAAAAATGTATGGCTTAAAAAATTATGTACAGTACTGTCTCATTTACTTTCAGACTTGATTAGAAACAAACAATTCTGCAAACTTCCTAAAGAAAATTTTGAGAAAAGAAAAGCGCAACTTTACTGAAGATTTTCACATTATATGGACATCTATCAGACTCCTCTAATTTTTTTTTTTTTTCAACAAGTCGGCCGTCTCCCACCAAGGCAGGGTGACCCAAAAAAGAAAGAAAATCCCAAAAAGAAAATACTTTCATCATCAATCAACACTTTCACCACACTCACACATTATCACTGTTTTTGCAGAGGTGCTCAGAATACAACAGTTTAGAAGCAAATATGTATAAAGATACACAACATATCCCTCCAAACTGCCAATATCCCAAACCCCTCCTTTAAAGTGAAGGCATTGTACTTCCCATTTCCAGGACTCAAATCCGACTATATGAAAATAACCGGTTTCCCTGAATCCCTTCACTAAATATTACCCTGCTCACACTCCAACAGATTGTCAGGTCCCAAGTACCATTTGTCTCCATTCACTCCTATCTAACACGCTCATGCACGCTTGCTGGAAGTCCAAGCCCCTCGCCCACAAAACCTCCTTGACCCCCTCTCTCCAACCCTTTTGAGGACGACCCCTACCCCTCCTTCCTTCCCCTATAGATTTATATGCTTTTCCATGTCATTCTACTTTGATCCATTCTCTCTAAATGACCAAACCACCTCAACAACCCCTCTTCTGCCCTCTGACTAATGCTTTTATTAACTCCACACCTTTTCCTAATTTCCACACTCCGAATTTTCTGCATAATATTTACACCACACATTGCCCTTTGACAGGACATCTTCACTGCTCCCAACCATCTCCTCGCTGCTGCATTTACCACCCAAGCTTCACATCCATATAAGAGTGTTGGTACTACTATACTTTCATACATTCCCTTCTTTGCCTCCATAGATAACGTTTTTTGACTCCACATATACCTCAATGCACCACTCACCTTTTTCCCTCATCAATTCTATGATTAACCTCATCCTTCATAAATCCATCCGCTGACACGTCAACTCCCAAGTATCTGAAAACATTCACTTCTTCCATACTCCTCCTCCTCAATTTGATATCCAATTTTTCTTTATCTAAATCATTTGATACCCTCATCACCTTACTCTTTTCTATGTTCACTTTCAACTTTCTACCTTTACACACATTCCCAAAACTCATCCACTAACCTTTGCAATTTTTCTTTAGAATCTCCCATAAGCACAGTATCATCAGCAAAAGTAACTGTGTCAATTCCCACTTTGAATTTGATTCCCATAATTTAATCCCACCCCTCTCCCCGAACACCCTAGCATTTACTTCTTTTACAACCCCATCTATAAATATATTAAACAACCATGGTGACATAACACATCCCTGTCTAAGACCTACTTTTACTGGGAAATATTCTCCCTCTCTTCTACACACCCTAACCTGAGCCTCACTATCCTCATAAAAACTCTTAACAGCATTTAGTAACTTACCACCTATTCCATATACATGTACTTGCAACATCTGCCACATTGCTCCCCTATCCACTCTATCATATGCCTTTTCTAAATCCATAAATGCAATAAAAACTTCCCTACCTTTATATAAATACTGTTCACATATATGCTTCAATGTAAACACTTGATCTACACATCCCCTACCCACTCTTGAAACCTCCCTGCTCATCTGCAATCCTACATTCTGTCTTGCCTCTAATTCTTTCAATTATAACCCTACTGTATACTTCTCCTGGTATACTCAGCAAACTTATTCCTCTATAATATTTACAATCTCTTTTGTCCCCCTTCCCTTTATATAAAGGGGCTATACATGCTCTCTGCCAATCCCTAGTACCTTCCCCTCTTTCATACACTTATTAAACAAAAGTACCAACCACTCCAACATATATCCCCCCTGCTTTTAACATTTCTGTCTAATCCCATCAGTTCCAGCTGCTTTACCCCCTTTCATTCTACGTAATGCCTCAGTACCTCCCCCACACTTACATTCTGTCTTCTTCACTCCTAAAATGATGGTATACCTCCTGGCCAGTGCATGAAATTACCGCCTCCCTTTCTCCTCAACATTTAAAAGTTCCTCAAAATATTCTCGCCATTTACCTAATGCCTCCCTCTCCCCATCTATTAACTCCCCTACTCTGTTTTTAACTGACAAATCCATACTTTCCCTAGGCTTTCTTAACTTGTTTAACTCGCTCCAAAATTTTTTCTTATTTTCATTAAAATTTCTTGACAGTGCCTCTCCCACTCTATCATCTACTCTCCTTTTGCACTCTCTCACCACTCTCTTCACCTTTCTTTACTCTCCATATACTCTGCTCTTCTTATAACACTTCTGCTTCGTAAAAACCTCTCATAAGCTAACCTTTTTCTCTTTTATCACACCCTTTACTTCATCATTCCACCAATCACATCCTCTTTCCTCCTGCCCCCACCCTCCTATAACCACAAACTTCTGCCCAACATTCTAATACTGCATTTTTATATCTGTTCCAATCCTCTTCAACCCCCCCACTACTCATCTTTGCACTAGCCCACCTTTCTGCCAATAGTCGCTTTATATCTCACCCGAACTTCCTCCTCCCTTAGTTTATACACTTTCACCTCCCTCTTACTTGTTGTTGCCACCTTCCTCTTTTCCCACCTACCTCTTACTCTAACTGTAGCTACAACTAAATAATGATCCGATATATCAGCTGCCCCTCTATAATTTAGCAGTATAAATAACCCATTAATTTTAAATGCATTATGATATAAGTTTAATAATATGATTAACAAACACAGAGCAAAAATAAGAAAATAAAGATTAAAATCCAGCAGTAAAAACATGTACCTAGACACTTCCTTGTTCTCCCCACCAAAGGCCACCACAGTTCGGATGGCAGAGATTGCCTCTTCTGCTATGCTCCCAGCTCTTGCATATTCCTTCATCTCTACATTTGACAGACTTGACTGAACCTGTAATAATAATAACTTGAAACTAAGTGGGAATATTGTATTATATCAAGGATGCAGGCAGAGCTTGCTTTGTCTGTGTTTTCAATTTACTGCATATCCAGTTACTACCTATCTTTCATACAGGGAATATCATGCGTATTAAATACATATTTGTAAGGGATTCCTTCAGTGCACACACATTTTCAATATCCTTATTATCTACTACAGTTTTAAGGATGAAATCTAAAACTGTCATATCAGTAAGAAAAAAAAATTATTCAATCATGTTTTTTCTAGTGATGAATATGAGTTTATTAAGCAGGTCCTCTTAAATTAAAACATCGGAACCTCTTAAAGTTCTGTTAAAATGTACTAGCATAAAATTTCTATAAACAAAGTGGTGGTTTTTCTTTTTATCACTATCCTAATTGACAAACATTCAGTGCATCTGCAAGTCTTACAAGGACGGAGGAAGATGGAGAGGAATTAGTATGCACTTGCCTTTGCTATGATTATACCATACTAAACAATAGCAGAATTCATTGACAGGAGCTAAATTTAAGATTTGACACGTCCCTCTAATTCCCTGCTACTTCTTCAAACCTCTCCTTGATGGCAGTGACCAAAGAAAATCTTCATTTGACCTTTCAATTCTTTAAAGCCAGTAAACAGTTTTTGAAGCAGCACTGTCTTAAATTTCACTTGCTTGTTAAGCCTTCACACATTTAAGGAAGCCATCATATAACAGAAAGCAGAGTAGAAAGGAGAAAAGGCATAGAGAAAACAAGAAGCAGCCTGCCCGCAGGTGCCAGTTCACTAAATAAACAATTGTAACCATATGATTTTAATCCTATTGTTATGCCAAAGCCATATTGGTATGTTTTAAAGATCCCCTGCCTGGCTTAACTGCATGTCTAGTTAGCACCCATCAGCAGTTTTGCCCTAGTTTATTCTTCTCAAGGACATCCCCCCCCCCCACTTCAGTATTTATTCATTCCACAAGTGACTCATTGGAATAAGTTTTTAAAACATTCACATTAGATAAATAAAGCCAATTAATGAAATGAAAGCTATGATCCACTTGCGGCTTATGTTAAATGAAGTTGACACACCTTATAATTACAATAATATTTTAATAGTGCATGCCTATAAATTAACACTAATGAAGATATTGCCAAGGAACAGGTTTAGAAATAAGATGAGGATGGTTCATATTTAATATAGATGCAGGAACTCTAAGCCTAATCCAGGCAGAACCTGCGAGTTTAAAAACAATATTATGCAGGATAATGTTGAAAATGTGCACCAAACATGAAACTCTTAAAATAAATGATACTGATGTTATTTTTAAGAGAATAGACATCATGTATTAAATGCATGTGTATTGCCACCTGCCAGGTATAAACATATCCAAGGGTTCACTTAACTAAGAACACTTTCCTTTAATGAGTTCCATTTTGATACTCATGCTCTTTAATGTATGACAAGCAAATTATTACAGTATGGCATTCATTAAAAAAAAAAACTTCAGAAACTCACTACTGCACTAACCTTTGCAATAATACCAGTTGCTATTCCCAGAATAGGGAAAACTGAGAGGATAACTAGAGTCAGCTCCCATCCATGAATAAAAGCATTGATGATTGAAGCAAGAAATATAGTCATGAAGAACAAGAACATGCCAACCTTCTCTCCAATACCTTCTTGCAATTTGTTCAGATCTCTGGAAAAACCACAAGAGTACCCAAGTATTAGTAAATACGAATAATATTAAGAAAATATAGCTTGGAATCATGGTAACTATTTCAACTGTGTATGCACTGAGCTACAGTATGACCTTAAAATAAAAGTACTTCAAAAAATTCGTGAAGCTGACAATGTTTTTGCATTGAAGAACACTTAAATACAAGTTTACATACTCAGTCACTCTGCTAGCAAAATCATTTGTTTGGTGAGTGTCAAACCAGCCAATTTCTTGTTTGAGAATGGACTGCAGGAACATTCCCCGAAGCCTATATACCTGTAAGTCAGAGTGCATGTTATTAAGGCCATTAATGTGTCAAAATTATCTTGCCACAAAAAATAATGATAATTTTGCTAACTTTACTAATACTTATTCACAAAGATAAAGTCCCAAAATAAGTATAAATCCTTTCCTGTAACTATATGTGGGTATGTAAGTATGTATGTAAGCCTGCAAGTGCACACACATTTTCACACCAGCTGACTAAGTATCATTTCCAATTTGTGGGATAGTCTTGCACATTTGCATTTCACAACCTTATGCCAAAACATTGCCCCCTACAGGGCTGAGAGACGAGTATTAATTAGTCGCATGTTTAGTTTATGTAAGGAATGACTTACAGAAGGTTATTCCTTACATAAAAATAAGTAACAGGAACTGTTTGTAAAATTAGTTTAAATGTAAAAGTCTAGAATTCGTGCAGCTGGCAGTAACAGCCTGGTTGATCAGATCCTGATCCACTGTGAGAATTGTTCATGGACCCGGCAAGGGTGTTGATCCCCGAAACACCCTCCAGGAAAAAAAAAGTGTTGAATTTATGTACCTATTACACAACTACAAAAAAGGAATTTATACATAAAAGTTGTACGTAAACTGAATGTGAAGGAAAGTGGCTGGTGCCATGAAGTTCTAGCTATGAATTACCTAGAATGGACGAAACTTATATACTGTAAAGACTGGCGGGTGCATGAAAAGTAGTTGCTAAGCAGTAGAGATGGTCACAGTGAGGATCACTTGGTGTTATGGGAATACTAGATGATTACAGTTTTTTGCTTGGCTTATTAACACAGGGTAACCTAGGAAAGTCAAGAAGCCTGGCTTATTTCTGTTAGGATAATAGAATTTTAAGGAGTAAGAATATCAGAGGGTAGAATACAAGTGCCAAAACAAAGACAAACAGAAGTAGTACTGTATTATAAGTGAGGAAAACTTAGGATGAAAGCAAACAGTGTATGAGAATGAAATAAATGACATCTTAATGTGACATCTGAAAGAGTATTATGCCTGTCTAAGATGCAGCCGAGATACAGCTTTGCATGATTGGCTTCAATATAGTGGAACTAGTTATCTAGGATGCTACAGCAGAAGTGTGAAATGATAGGTGTTAATGTAAATATATTTTAACCCTCTGTACCTACATTCCTCTTAAGCTAATGACTCTAAACACATGAGAAATATGTAATAATAATAATATAATAATAATACAAAGGACCCTTGGTTATTGGCCATAATCCGTTCCAGAAGGTCGGCCTAAAACCGAAATGGCCTAACACCGAAATATTTCCCATAAGAATTAATATAAATACAATTAATCCGTTCCAGACACCCAAAAAATATTAACAAAAAAATATATTTTTTAAAGATAGTTATAGTTTTACATACACAAAACAAGGAGAACTAAATAAAATAAATAAATGAACATTTAAATCACTATTACATACCTTTATTGAAGACTCTTGTTGGCTTATGGAAGACAGGGAGGAGGAGAGAGAGGGAGGAAGGACTGATTATTGTTTGGAAGGGGAATCCCTCTCCATAAGGACTTCAGGTATCAAAGCCCTCTCTGGGGTTACTTCCCTCCCTACCTGCTACACTCCCTGCATGCCTGCTATGCTCCCTGCCTTCCTCCTACACCCTGCCTCCCTACTACACTCCCTGCCTGCCTGCTACACTCCCTACATACTTGCTACACTCCCTGCATGCCTGCTACACTCCCTGCATGCCTGCTACACTCCCTGCTAAACTCCCTTTTGCAACATTAGCTTTCTTGATGTTTGGATGAATGAGTAGAAGTGTCCTAATTCGCCCAGAGACACAGCCAGACTGACTCATGAACATGCCAGTGGTTGGCAGGCAGGCAGGTGGACGTGTCCAATACGGCCAATTAGTGAAATAACGGTCGATAACCAGAAGCTGAAAAACCGGCTGTTAACCGAGTTGGCCATTAAGCAGAACAGCTGATAACCGAAGGTCCACTGTATCTTCATTTCTACAAGTACATGTACAAGGTATACAGGCCTAGCTGACATCAATGACATACTACTATACAGAAAGCCGCTTGTTATGTAGAGCATTTTCGGCAAATTAGGTCAGTTTTCTCCCAGGATGCGACCCACACCAGTCGAATAACAAACCATACCCCGGCCGGGATTGAACCCGCGGTCAAGAGAGTCTCAAAACTCCAGCCCGTCGCGTTAGTCGAATAACACTCAGGTACCCATTTTTATTAATGGGCGAGCAGGTATAACAGGTGTGAGGAAACACACCCAATGTTTCCACAATTGCCGGAATCAAACCATAGACCCCTCTGAGTGTGAAGTGAGAGCTTTGCCTACCAGGCCACGGGCCTGGAAGCTTCCATCTACTGGAAAATGTAAAGTGTTACAGGTTGTACAGATGAGGGTACTGTACAGGTATATCTAGAAAGCCATCATGAAGATGCTACAATAACCATTATTATGAGTCTTTGTATGTGTAAGAGTGACATACCTGGAATGTGGAAGGTGACATACCTGACCCTCTGCAGCATAGTTCATAGCTGTCACAAATATGTAACCATCACCATCTGGATTGCACCTATGACAATTGTTCCTACTCCAAATTTACTACCTCTTCAAAGAAGTCCTTAATTCCGTTATTTCTCCTTGATCATTTCTATAATTCTGAAACATATGAAATTTTGAGAATATAACACATGGAATAGGGCAAATATGTAATAAAGGTACTCTTATATACATACCAAATTTGTTAATTGTTAAAGGTCTGGAAAGACTACATACATCCCACTGATGCAATTACCACTAGGATCAAGGTTTAACCCCTCAAGGAAGGTTCCTTGATGTTGGTGAGGGCTCTTGATTAGGGAATTGGATCTGTGCTCCAGTTCCCGAATTAAGCCTGAATGCCTTCCACATCCCCTCCCCAGGCGCTGTATAATCCTCTGGGTTTAGCGCTTCCCCCTTGATTATAATAATAAATAATCAAGGTTTAACCATTTTTTTTACACATCATTTATTTTACAGGCTCTGCATACAAGGGGCTTTTGGCATGTACACTCAACCACTGGATTTCTTTTGTACAACTACGTATAATGTCCAAATAATAATAATAAATAAGAGCTGTTATCTTACCTTAGCCTATTTCGAAACCCAGCCCTATCAAAAGTATACTACCACCCCTCTAGGATGCCACCCACACCAGTCGGCTAACACCCAGGTACCTACTTATTGAACAGGAGAAGCAGGTGTATGGAAGCATGTCCAATTGGTTGTTTCTACCCCATACAGGGGGTTCGATCCCCGATACGGGTGGAAACGTTGGGATAGGGCTGGGCTTTGATATGAAATGAGGTTTAATAACAGCTCTTAGCCCGTAAAACTGATATTCGTGTAAAAAAAAGCTTACCCTGGCTAAACTTGTTTCTTAATAAACCCTGACTAGCTGCACTGAGTACTACATCCACGACCCATCCTAAATGATTTTTTTATGGCCGAGACTCAAAATTTGGTTAATTCCAGAATTTCTGAAATACCCCTAACATTACAGAACTTTGAAAAGCAATAAGTGACATGCTCATGCACTCTGCCCCTGGCCCAGACTCGTGGAACTCAGTATTTCATCAAAAACTGTAAGAAATCATTTTCACGTGCCATAAATATTCTGAGAGCCTAGACACGGGGGTCATACCAGTCACTAAACACAACAGATATAGCCCCAATCCACGAAGGTAGCAGTAAAGCAGTTGCAAAGAATTCCAGACTGATAGCAGGTTAGGTAAAGTTTGTCAGGAACAGGACAAGTGTTTCCCGACGCGGGTCTTTGTCAGATGATGACCCCCGTTGGAGCTTTTGGTCATCTGACCGAGGTCTTCCCCTGGGCTTACCAGTCCCCCCCCCTTTAAAAATGGTCATAGTTATAACCATTTAACATATTTTACCGATAGCACTAACGTCCTACATAAAAAGCTTTTAAAGGGTTTAAAGAAGCCTCCAGGTATGTCTGCATAAACGACTCTACGATTTTAACCAGATATATACATATAAATTAGTTCATTACCACTAACTTTTTTCTCTCAAAAAATTTGCGGTCCAGTCAATTGCCACGATATGTGCATCTTTAATCTTTTGACTACCACCCACATTATGGGGATGGGGTGCATATTAAACATATTAAACCAAACTAAGTCCATAGCTTGTAAAGTGCTACTTCCCCTTCATATGCCCTCGTCAGTTTTTCGGAGTATATTCTGCAATTCAGTATCACCGTTGCATAACTATGTTTATTACCCCCAATTTTTTTTATATATTTTTTTTTTACTAAATAACCTCCATTGGATTTAACAAGAAGTAAGACATGTCCCCCAAAGGCTATGTATGAAAATTCATATCTGCTAATACAAAAATACAAATACAAATTTTTATTTCCTTGCAAGATACATTGAGATTATGTAATTACAATAATGAGTTTCAGTGCAATAAAGAGCCACTATCATGCCATGGCATTATGGGCAAATAAATTTAATGGCTTACAAACTACTTAATACTAGAAAAATTTATCATAGTTTTAAGTTGTACACCTGTTTTTATTTATAGTAGACAGTAAGTTTACTCAAATTCCAAAAAAAAGAGTACCCTCATCTTTTTTTAAGATGAGGGTTTTACAACTTGAAATGGGTAAATGGCATCAGATTTGCTTTTGTAGTCTGTACGTATGTAGGGAAATCGACAGGATCATTCAAATTCAAATTTCTTTGTTTCTTTGCAAGTATTACATTGAGGTTATGTATTTTTCAATAATGAGTTGCAGTGCAAAGAGAGCCTCTTTTATGCCAAGGCATTATGGGCCGACTTAATTTTTAAAGACTTACTGACTACTTAACACTAAAGAAATTTATCACAGTTGTACAATAGTTTATTAATTATAAATGAATCTAATTTATATAAACCAAAGGATATATTCATATTTTAAAAAATGTTTTTTTATTGTAATAATATTGTTGGGAGAATTATCAACAATGTGTTAGGTAAAGTCACATATGCTACTATTCGCAATTTTATTGTGGCAACGTTTCGCTCTCCAGGAGCTTGTCAAGCCGTTACGGCATGACAAAACTCCTTGAGCGCGAAACGTTGCCATAATAAAAATTGTTGCATTAGCTGCACGTATCATTTTACTTAACATAATCATTATTACACTAATTAAAATACATGCACCCTTTTGAAAAAAAGTTGTATACACGTACAAAGGAACGCAAACTAGCATACAAATTTATAGATAAGATTACCAAAATCTCTTAAAAAAAGACAAACTACTTACTCGTCCACGTCCAATGTTACATTTTCCGGGATATCACCGATGTATAAATGAAAATGTTTGTTGTATTATCAATGCTACTTAACAAGTCATTGTAAACAAAAGCTTTTTGTAACATCACCGAAGAGAATAAACATGGCTGGCATACAGAGTCCAGCTATCAGAGCTGCCAGGACGCCAGCAGCCATCAACCATTTCTCAAGCAAGTTTGAATATCTGAACTGAAAATAAACACATTTTCCCTCTTTACACTTTTCGCTTTAATATAAAAAAACTGTCATACAATATACAAAGTACATGGCATACATAATACACATTTAAGGGTAAACATTTCCGTAAGACCTTGATCAGGAGCCAAATACGTACCATGCATCTTAATGTACTTTATTCTCATTACATTAATGTTTATTTAAATATAGCATCAAGGAAAAACTAAACCTAGTCTTAAATTTTAGAAATACATTCACTAAAAACATAGCTAGGAGCTGTAAATCGACCCTTGTAACCACAAATAGGAGAGTACAGCAAGAAGTGGACCTAGTTACGGTCAGCGAAGAGGCGGGGCCAGGAGTTGTAAATCGACCCTTAAAAACCACAATTAGGAGAGTGCACACACAATTTTTTTTTGGGATGTTCCGGTCCCTGCCTCCATCTTTTCAGGGAACATTGCTTCCATCAGGAAGCGGTTGCCTGACTTACATCATATTAGTGAAACCCAATAATATTGATGTCATTCTGTTTGCAGGAATGTAGATTAAAAGATGGAGCACCTCCACCAAACTTGCAGGGATATGCAGCTTAAAACCTAAGGTCAACCAACTGTTGTGTGATGTAAGGGTCGAGAAAGAAGATAAGATAAGATTTCGTTCGGATTTTAACCCCGGAGGGTTAGCCCCCCAGGATAACCCAAGAAAGTCAGTGCGTCATCGAGGACTGTCTAACTTTTTTTCCATTGGGGCCCTTTAATCTTGTCCCCAGGAATGCGACCCACACCAGTCGACTAACACCCAGGTACCTATTTGCTGCTAGTGAACAGGAAACAGGTGTAAGGAAACGTTCGAAATGTTTCCACCCGCCGGAATCGAACCCGGGCCCCTCCGTGGGGTTGAAGCGGGAGCTTTAGCCACCGGGCCACCGGGCCCCACTTGCCACATTCACTCCTTTCCTTGCAGAGTCGAGTTAACATGCAGTATCATGGTGTCAAAGTATATGCAGGCGATTTTTTCCTAAACATTTTTTAATCTCTATGCCCCCAGCGAACCAGCTTCGACCTGATGCTTTACAGATCGCATCAATAGGAACCCACCATCATTCTTGGAGATTTTAATGCCAGACATAAGAATATTGGTGGGTCTATAACAAACACCAATGGAACTAAACTAGTGAGATTGCTAAATGAGCATGATAATGTTCGAATTGTGGGCACTACTGAGCCTACTCCACATATATGGTGGCCTTTCTAGATCTGTGTCCTGGATTTAATACATTTATATACGATTTCATGACTTGTCATAGTTTTTATGATCTTCTGTCTGATCACTTCCCAAGACTAACAACTGTCAATCTTGAACACATCTCCAGCAATCAAGGAGCTAAATACAGGAGGAGGAAACTTATTCTCAAACCAGAACACAGAGACAACTTTATTAACCACTTGGATCAATTGGTATAGAATTACGAGCCCATTGGCACACAAAAATTTAATGATGATTTAATTCCACTATTGAGAGTGTTCTCACAGATCAAAATGGGGCAGGAATAGGAAACAAAGACCCTCCCACTATAAATAACAAAAAAACCAATGTAAAAAACTATAATGATCCACAGCTACGCAATCTAACACATGCAGCTAGGAGGATGGTAAAGCATACCGTGAATGTAGAACCCCAGACCTGCTCAGAAAAGTTTCCAAGCTGCACTAACAAATGCAAGGAATAGAAAGGAAGAACTTAGGCAACAGGAATGGAACAGTTTTTTTAGTGGATTAAATAGGTCCACCCCTTTGAGTTTGGCTTGGAAAGGTATAAATAAAATAACCAGGGGAAAAAAACTGGCAATGTTTGCTCATCCCTTTCCTCTTGAAAAAGCAAATGACCTCATAAATGACTGGTCCAAAATATCCAGGCATGAAAGCCTTTCCATCTCATATTAGAAAAAATTTAGATGAAAAACAAGCCTATCCGATGTTATCCTGACGCCAAATGACTTCGAACAGGCGATAAATGACTGCCCATGCACTCTGCCCCAGGGCCAGACTCATGGGAAATCTGTGTTCATCAAGAACTGCAAGAAGCCCCTATCACGAGCCTTTTTCCATCCTATGGAGAGGGAGCATGGACACGGGGGTCGTCCACAGTTACTAAAAAACAACAAACCCCACTCCACAAGGGGCAGAAAGCAACAGCAAAGAACTACAGACCCAATAGCACTAACATCCCATATCAAAAAAAACTTGAAAGGGGGCCTAAAAGCAAAAATCACACCCATCTAGAAACCCATCAGGGTTTCACAACCAGGCAAATGGTTTAGAACATGTCGCTCTTGTCTGTCCTCAACTATTGGATCACTTACAGACAAGGTCCTATAATGCACTAGAAGACAAAAAAAGAATGCGATGTAATATATACAGACTTTGCAAAAGCCCTTCGACAAGATGATGACCATGCGTTAATAGGCACCAAAATCGTTGTGCTAAGGAATAAACAGAGAAAGTCGGTCGTGGATCTATAATTCCTCACAGAATAACCAGAGAGTAGTCGTCACAGGAGTAAAGTTCCGAGGCAGCTACGTGAAAAGCTCTGTCCTCCACAAGGCACAGTACTGCTCCCATCTTGTTCCTCATTCTCTCATTCCGACATAGACAAGGATGTACAGCCACAGCCCGTGTTTCCCTTTGCAGATGACACCCGAATCTGCATGACAGTGTCTTCCATTGCAGGACACTTGCCAAAGCTCCAGGCGACTATCCACCATATCTTTCTAGTGGGTGCAGAAAACAATATGAAGTTCAACGATGAGAAATTTATTACCAGATATGGTAACATGAGGAAATTAAATCTTCATCAGAGTATAAAACAATTCTGGCCACAATAGAGGAAACCACCAACGTCTAAAGACCTGGGAGTGATCATGGTCGGAGGATCTCACTTCAAGGACCATAACATTGTATCAATGCATCTGCTAGAAAAATGAACAGGATGGATAATGAGAACCTTCAAAACTAGGGAGGCCAAAGCCCTGATGACACTCTTCAGGTCACTTGTTCTATCTAGGCTGGAATATTGCCTGCAACACTAACAGCACCTTTCAAGGCAATGAAATTGCCGACCTAGAAAATGTAGAGAACTTTCACGGCGGCAAAAACGGAGATAAACACCTTCAATTATTGGAGCGATTGGGTTCCTAAACTGTATTCCCTGGAACCAGGAGGGAGAAGATCCCATGATTATATACACCTGGAAAATCCTAGAGGGACTAGTAACGAACTTGCCACGAAAAATCACTCACATACAAAATGCAAAAGACTTGGCAGACGATGCACCATCACCCCAATGAAAGCAGGGTGTCACTAGCACGTTAAGAGACCATACAATAAGTGTCAGGGGCCCAGAAGACTGTTCAACTGCCTACCAGCACACATAAGGGGATTACCAACGGGACCCTGGCAGTTTCAAGCTGGCACTGGGACAAGCACTAAAGTCAGTTCCGGATCAGCCGGGCTGTGGCTCGTACGTTGGTTTGCGTGCAGCCAGCAGCAACAGCCTGGTTGATCAGGCTCTGATCCACCAGGAGGCCTGGTCACAGACCGGGCCGCGGGGCGTTGACCCCCGGAACTCTCTCCAGGTAAACTCCAGGTACTTCTGAAGAAATGTTGAAACTGATTAATTTTATGAGCCAAAATATTGATGAGAGTGATTGCCTCTTTACCGAGTATGAATTAGATAATGCATTAACCAAAGGTCGATCAACTGCTCCTGGAGAGGATGGTATAACCTATGATATTCTCAGAACTCTAAGGCACGTGCCTGAAAACCCTTTGTTGGCACTGTATAATCTCAGTTACATTGAGGGCGTTCTTCCTACTTCCTGGACCAATAGTCTCATTGTGCCTATCCCTAAGCCCCAACAGCCTGATACATTTAGGCCGATCTCCTTAACTAGTTGTCTTTGTAAAACTTTTGAAAGAATGATGCTTAACAGACTGTACTACAGAATCAGACACCAACTTTCCCCCTACCTCTATGGGTTCATGAAAGGTAAAAGTGTGCAGAACTGTATTTCCACCTTTCTCACTGCACACACCTCTACTAGTTTTACCACTTTTCTTGATCTAAAATCTGCATTTGATATTGCGAACAGAACCGTTATACTACATGAACTAGCCAAAATGAATATTGGTGGTAGCTTACTCTGCTGGATAATAGGATACCTGTCAAAGAGTATCCTCTGTCCTTTACCAAGGCTTCAGAAGTGATTCTAAAGAAATGTCTTTAGGTACACCGCAGGGAGGAGTTCTTAGTCCCATGCTATTTAATATTCTGATTAATGCTCTCCTAAATGCTCTACCTGCTTCACCTAAACATATAGCTATAAGCTATGCTGATGATATCATGATCCATACAACAGGGCATAAGAAGATGAATACCATTCTTAATGAAGTTCAAGCAATTTGTAATCGACTAGGCCTCATAATATCTTCCTCTAAAACAAAGATCTTAACAAGCAAACGACATCCCCCACCCATCTATTTGCAGGGTGAAATCATTAGCTACGTTAAAACTTACAGATATCTTGGTGTAGATGTACCCCTTTTAAAAAATCCACTATACCACAACTAAACAAGAAATGCAAAGCTAGGCTAAATGCTCTCAAAGCTGTTGCTGGCTACAATCCCAACTATGGTGCTAATGTGAGAATCGTGAGAATGATGTACATAGCCTATGTTAGGTCCTTAATTGATTATGCTGCTCCCATGTTGATATTAGCTAGAGAAAGTTCTCTCCGACCCTTGGAGTTAATGCAAAATGAAGCTCTCAGGATTATTCTTGGCTGTCCCAGATCTACAAAAGTTCTTAACATGAGGAAGGAGCTTGGTATTTCTAGTATCAGTGATAGGATTGTTGAAATTAAACACTGTACTCGGTATTGAATGTTGAGAAACCAACCAGACACTGTCACAGTGAATCTTACCAAGTGTCTAGAGGTAAATACACACAGATCTAAATGGATTGTGAAAACGTGCAATTGCATTAAGTTTAATAACCTACATGAACTGTATCACTGTAGGCAACAAGAGCATTTCACCCCTCCATGGAAGATGTGTTCATTTAATATCACATACCTACAAGTCCCTCCCAAGAAGCTCATTGCTAGTAATCCCTTCCTTAAATATTTCTCTTGTTAGAGCAACTGCTCAAGAAGAAATTTCTCACCTAGCCGGTAGTAATAAGTTATCACAAGTTATATACACTGATGGATCTAAACAGGAGTCTTCTGGCAGGGCTGCATCTGCTCTTGTTGCCACCTCCCTAGTTAAGAACGATAATAAATTTGTTGAGTTAGGCATAAGAATTAACAACTGGGCGTCTACACTGCAAACTGAATTGTTTGCAATCCTAATGGAGCTAAAGCTAACCTATGACACTGAGCTTGATTCTATCATCATTACTGATTCTATGTCATCATTGAAGGCTCTTGAGTCATATAATGACTCCAACAACATGCTCAGGAAGCCAGGTATAGATACTCAAAAATTAGGGACAAAGGAATTAATGTACAATTGCTATGGATCCCATCACACATTGGATTACTCCTTCATGATAAAGTTGATATGTTAGCCAAGAAGAGTATCCAGAAGGAGAACGTAGAATATAACTTTGGTATAACTGTGTCTAGCATTAGGAATAATATTAGGAGAGAAGTAAATAATGAAGATGATTGTTATAGGAATGCAGTTAGAAGCCTGAGTAGATCTATAACCCACTATGATAACATGAACGTAGATAAGTATGTTTATGGAGCAACTTGCAATGTGAACAGACTGACTGATGTTGTAGTGGCCAGGCTTAGGCTTGGTTACAAGTACTTCTGGCAGTTTGGGAGACACACAGATGATGATCAAACTAAATGTAAATTATGTGATCAGGTCTGGTGGCTAAAGCTCCCGCTTCACACACGGGGGGCCCGGGTTCGATTCCCGGCGGGTGGAAAACATTCCGACACGTTCTCCTTACACCTGTAGTCCTGTTCACCTAGCAGCAAATAGGTACCTGGGTTTAGTGACTGGGGTGGGTCGCATCCTGGGGGGCAAGATTAAGGACCCCAATGGAAATAAGTTAGACAGTCCTGGATGACGCACTGACTTTCTGGGTTATCCTGGGTGGCAACCTCCGGGTGTTAAAAATCCGACCGAAAATCTTATCTAATCTTATCTTAATTGTCCACTTATTTAGGAATACAGAGACAGACAGTATAATAACCTATGTGACATGTCAAGATATCTTATTAATGAAAATAAGATACCAAATTATCTAAGCAAATTATCTAATTATGCTTGTAAAAGATAAGTGAACTAGAGATAGTAGATATAAATCCATTGTATTCCTGTTAACCCTTTGGGGCCTAGTTCCTAGGCCTTTTGTGTATCCACATGCTCTCGCGCTACCGTCCACAGGATGGATATGGGGTGCACAATAAACTAGCCACTTCGGTGGCAAAATCTAAATCTATAAAGAAACGGGTAGCCTATGAGGCTGGAACAGTAAACAAATGGTTATTCAAATTCTTAGTGTAACTACTTGTGTATCAAAATAAAGACACGATACCCTAGCCAAATTTCTTAAGTAACATTTGCATTAAATCTCACAATACTTACAAGCTGAAGCATAGGCACAGGGGGTAACTCATTTTTCTTTTCTTCTTCATCCTTATTTTCCTCTTTTTCTTTTTCATCCTTTTTTTTCTTCTTTTTTCCATTCTTTTTCAGATCATCTCTGCAAGAAAGAAAATACAAAAAATGCATATATTTTTTTATTAAGTATATATATACATCCAACAGTGAGAAAAGACACATCAAAATTTTTCTTTTTCAACCGCCTGTTGGCCATTCCATACTCCAATCAAGAATTAGTATGCCATATAAAGATAACGTGAGAAAAAAAATCCCAGATATACCAGTTTTGACAGTGAACTCCAATGAACTAATATAGTAATAGGTTAGAAAATCCTTCCGACAAACCTAACTGATCAACAGTTCCTTAACTCCAGAGGTTAACACATCCAGTAATGCACAGGAAGTGTGTAGTGCTCGGGTATATTTATTATGAATGAGACCTTTCGCCAACCATTTTGAAACCCCTTCTATCAAGACTGGGGGCTGATTACCTCACATTCTACTGAATCGGAAAGCCCACTGATTGGCGAAACGTCTTTATAATAAATATACCCATTTTTACACGTGTCTTTTTTATCTGATAGAATTGTACACCATTATAGTGATAAAATAACTGACCTACATGTTCATTTGTGATCTTTCTAATTAAAGTAATTACCAGTGATGATGGAGAGAAGATTAAGCTGTGAGCAGGGAAATAGTGTACTGGATTAAGTTATGAAGTAACTATCTAAAGAATGGAAACAGCCAAGGCTGGTAGTTTCATCAAGTCACTCAGGTGAAGTTGTGGGGTTAATTAACCATCATTCTTCCAAAATAAATAACTAGTCTATCATCCTGTACGCTTGTCATAAATAAATAAATAAATAAATAATATATATATATATATATATATATATATATATATATATATATATATATATATTTATTTATTTATTTATTTATTTATTTTTTTTTATTATCACACTGGCCGATTCCCACCAAGGCAGGGTGGCCCGAAAAAGAAAAACTTTCACCATCATTCACTCCATCACTGTCTTGCCAGAAGGGTGCTTTACACTACAGTTTTTAAACTGCAACATTAACACCCCTCCTTCAGAGTGCAGACACTGTACTTCCCATCTCCAGGACTCAAGTCCGGCCTGCCGGTTTCCCTGAACCCCTTCATAAATGTTACTTTGCTCACACTCCAACAGCACGTCACGTGTTAAAAACCATTTGTCTCCATTCACTCCTATCAAACACGCTCACGCATGCCTGCTGGAAGTCCAAGCCCTGGCAGTCTTCAAGCTGGCACTGGACAAGCACCTAAAGTCAGTTCCTGATCAGCCGGGCTGTGGCTCGTACGTTGGTTTGCGTGCAGCCAGCAGCAACAGCCTGGTTGATCAGGCGCTGATCCACCAGGAGGCCTGGTCACAGACCGGGCCGCGGGGGCGTTGACCCCCGAAACTCTCTCCAGGTAAACTCCAGGCACACAAAACCTCCTTTACCCCCTCCCTCCAACCTTTCCTAGGCCGACCCCTACCCCGCCTTCCTTCCACTACAGACTGATACACTCTTGAAGTTATTCTGTTTCGCTCCATTCTCTCCACATGTCCGAACCACCTCAACAACCCTTCCTCAGCCCTCTGGACAACAGTTTTGGTAATCCCACACCTCCTCCTAACTTCCAAACTACGAATTCTCTGCATTATATTCACACCACACATTGCTCTCATACATGGCATCTCCACTGCCTCCAGCCTTCTCCTCGCTGCAACATTTATCACCCATGCTTCACACCCATATAAGAGTGTTGGTAAAACTATACTCTCATACATTCCCCTCTTTGCCTCCAAGGACAAAGTTCTTTGTCTCCACAGACTCCTAAGTGCACCACTCACCCTTTTCCCCTCATCAATTCTATGATTCACCTCATCTTTCATAGACCCATCCGCAGACACGTCCACTCCCAAATATCTGAATACATTCACCTCCTCCATACTCTCTCCCTCCAATCTGATAAGATTTTTCGTTCGGATTTTTAACCCCGGAGGGTTAGCCACCCAGGATAACCCAAGAAAGTCAGTGCGTCATCGAGGACTGTCTAACTTATTTCCATTGGGGTCCTTAATCTTGTCCCCCAGGATGCGACCCACACCAGTCGACTAACACCCAGGTACCTATTTGCTGCTAGGTGAACAGGACAACAGGTGTAAGGAAACGTGTCGAAATGTTTCCACCCGCCGGGAATCGAACCCGGGCCCTCCGTGTGTGAAGCGGGAGCTTTAGCCACCAGGCCACCGGGCCACCATCACCTAATCTTTTTGTTATCCTCATAACCTTACTCTTTCCTGTATTCACTTTCAGTTTTCTTCTTTTGCACACCCTACCAAATTCATCCACCAATCTCTGCAACTTCTCTTCAGAATCTCCCAAGAGCACAGTGTCATCAGCAAAGAGCAACTGTGACAACTCCCACTTTATGTGTGATTCTTTATCTTTTAACTCCACGCCCCTTGCCAAGACCCTCGCATTTACTTCTCTTACAACCCCATCTATAAATATATTAAACAACCACGGTGACATCACACATCCTTGTCTAAGACCTACTTTTACTGGGAAATAATTTCCCTCTTTCCTACATACTCTAACTTGAGCCTCACTATCCTCGTAAAAACTCTTCACTGCTTTCAGTAACCTACCTCCTACACCATACACCTGCAACATCTGCCACATTGCCCCCCCATCCACCCTGTCATACGCCTTTTCCAAATCCATAAATGCCACAAAGACCTCTTTAGCCTTATCTAAATACTGTTCACTTATATGTTTCACTGTAAACACCTGGTCCACACACCCCCTACCTTTCCTAAAGCATCCTTGTTCATCTGCTATCCTATTCTCCGTCTTACTCTTAATTCTTTCAATAATAACTCTACCATACACTTTGCTAGGTATACTCAACAGACTTAACCCCCTATAATTTTTGCACTCTCTTTTATCCCCTTTGCCTTTATACAAAGGAACTATGCATGCTCTCTGCCAATCCCTAGGTACCTTACCCTCTTCCATACATTTATTAAATAATTGCACCAACCACTCCAAAACTATATCCCCACCTGCTTTTAACATTTCTATCTTTATCACATCAATCCCGGTTGCCTTACCCCCTTTCATTTTACCTACTGCCTCACGAACTTCCCCCACACTCACAACTGGCTCTTCCTCACTCCTACAAGATGTTGTTCCTCCTTGCCCTATACACGAAATCACAGCTTCCCTATCTTCATCAACATTTAACAGTTCCTCAAAATATTCCCTCCATCTTCCCAATACCTCTAACTCTCCATATATATATATATATATATATGATGGGGTCCACCTCTGGTGTAAATTGTGGGACCCATAGCCTCGGAGAAGTGGCCCGGTGGCCTGGTGGCTAAAGCTCCCGCTTCACACACCGAGGGCCCGGGTTCGATTCCCGGCGGGTGGAAACATTTCGACACGTCTCCTTACACCTGTTGTCCTGTTCACCTAGCAGCAAATAGGTACCTGGGTGTTAGTCGACTGGTGTGGGTCGCATCCTGGGGGACAAGATTAAGGACCCCAATGGAAATAAGATAGACAGTCCTCGATGACGCACTGACTTTCTTGGGTTATCCTGGGTGGCTAACCCTCCGGGGTTAAAAATCCGAACGAAATCTTATCTTATCTTATCTTCAAGGAAGAATATTTGGATTTCTTCCTGAAGCCGTTTGAATATTCCACTTCCCCTACCTCCCCATCTTTCAGTATATATATATTTTTTTACCAATAGGAATATTTTATTACATAATATGGTACAGAAGATTTAAGAGATACATTGTTGATATAAAGGTGGCATATAAGGTACATGTTGTTACATGTGTATCACCGATTATAAGGCGAAAATCTCATCCAGCTCATCATACAGCAGGTATGGAAAATTTTATAGGGTGATTACCTTTATGTACCTCAACATTACATGCTTACAAGTAAACTCATTGGGAGACAACCATATGGTTTACCGTAGTCACCCCGTGTAGACATGTGAGAAAACTTAACCACCCACTCTTATTCCAGCAGGACAAGGTATCCGTCGGTTTGTCCCGGTTTAGAAGTCGTGAAAATTTTCCCTTAAAACTTCCCTAAACCTTGTACCCAGAATCACGCGTTCACTCGGAGCAGGGCGATCTATTTCACATTCCCCATTCTCTTAAATTAAAGTTTTTATCACTGATTTTCATTACCATTCACAAGACGATTTAAAAAACTCTAATTATTATAAAATTAGAGGTCACTCCATTAAGATTGAGGCCAATGATTTAGGGGTTTAAAACACGGGTATTTCCCCTGGGGCACACACCATGGCCCCCGCAAACCCGTCACACCCCGGTTTGAACCTTATTTACTAATTTTTGAGCCACAGCCCGGCTGATCCCGGAACTGACTTTAGGTGCTTGTTCCCGTGCCAGCTTGAAAAAATGCCAGGGGTCTGTTTGGGAAACCCCCCTTTTGTGTTTGGGGGGGCAGTTGAACAGTCCGGGGGCCCCCGACACTTATTGTATGGGCTCTTAACGGCTAGTTGGGCCCCCCTGCTTTTCATTGGGGGGATGGTGCATCGTTGCCCAAATCTTTTGTTTCGTATGCGAAATGAATTTTTGTGTGGGAAGTTCGGTTTTAGTCCCCCTAGGATTTTCCAGGGTATTAATCATGTTTTCTCTCCCTCCTGCGTTCCAGGGGAATTTCAGGTTTAGGAACCTCAAGCGCTCCCAATAATTGAGGTGGTTTTTTCTCCCCCTTTTGGGGCACCCTGAAAAATTTTCTGTACATTTTTAGGTCGGCAAATTTCAACCGGGCCCTTTAAAAAGGTTTTGTTTGTGTGCAGCAATATTCCAGCCTAGATAGAACAAGGACCTGAAAAAGGGGTCACATGGGCGTGGGCCCCCCCCTGGTTTTTTAAAGGGTTTTCATTATCCATCCTGTCATTTTTCTAGAAAATGCGATTGATAAATGTTTTTGGTCCTTGAAAGGGGAGGGTCCTCCGACATGATCACTCCCCGGTCTTTGCCCTTGGTGTTTCGCTCTATTTTGTGGGGCCAAAAATTTTGTTTTGTACTTGATGAAGATTTAATTTCCTCATGTTTATCATATCTG